GGCAGGAACGATTACGAGAAAGTTGCTCCATGTGGGACGTAAATATGGAATCGCGTTTGAGTTAAAAAAAAAAGCAGTTTTAGTAGGCAGAGGCTCAAAACGGCTCCTTTTCCTCTGAATTCATGCCCTTATGTCTTGTAAAATATATCAATCCTGCATTAAAACATTTTTAATTGTAATTTTCAGGCAAGGTTTAAGCCATAAATGTAAGTAAAAAAAAAACCTGCCAGTTGGCTCCTTTTAAACAAATTGTTTACAAAATACATTGCTTTTTTATTTAAAACCTAAATAATAATATTTCACATCAAAAGAAACACAAATGTTTTTAACCAATCGTATTAAAATAATCTTATGACAGAAAATTGTAAACAGAAATAGCTTTGAAACCCTTTAACAAAATAAAGGTAACTCAGTTACCTCTAAATCATTAACCAATGTTTGTATAATTGTGTTAACTCCAATGCAGGGGCCGGCTCTAGACAATTTGCAGCCCTAGGCGAGATTTGAGTTGGCGCCCCAGCCAGAGAATCGTACAATAGAAAATATAAAGATCAATAGACTATCCAAGGAATACACAATAGAATGGGGGGTGGACGTCACATCCTCTAGGGGGGTCCGGAGGTATGCCCCCCCGGGAAGATTTTTTTTAACATTTTAAAGGTCACATGTCATGCTTTTCCGGTTATTACCCATCCCCTTGTGCGTTATGAAGGTTTTTCTGCATGTAAACGGTGTGCAGAGTCAAAACCCTCAAAGTACACCCTGTAGCGAGTAAAACTCTAAAACAGAAAATACCTCCCCAAAACGCCTCGTTGGTGAAACGTCATCATGACGTCATCATCCATTTGATTCTTCCGGGTAGTGCTTACGAAAGCACGTACCCGGAACTAAATGGGCCAATCCGTGGAGCCGTTACATTACGTCCGCGGAGCCGTTACGTTAAGCCCCCGCTGATTGGTCCAAATTGACCAATCCACACACACACACTCAGTGCAGGCAGCCCTGCTGATTTCTGCTCCGTGCTGCAGGCTGATAAAAGACAGTTGGGATTGCGCGAAATTCTCTCTGCAGACCCATTCTCACAGCGTTTATCAACCTATAAACCTTTTTCTTACTCGATATCAAGCCACACTTATTGTTTTTATTTCGGCTGTGACTTTGTGGGTGT